ATCATCAGCAGCATCAGCGTCGTCATCATCATCATCATCATCATCATCATCATCATAATCAGCATAACCAGAATCATCATCCTCAGCATCCTCATCACCGTCCTCATCCTCATCATCATCATCAAAAACATCAGCATGATCATCGTCATCATCATCAGCAGCAGCATCATCATCATCCTCAGCCTCATCCTCATCCTCATCATCCGCATTATCATCCTCATCCTGATCCTTGCCATCACAATCACCATCACCATCACCTCCATCCTCCTCCTCATCCTCCTCACCTCATCATCATCATCACCATCATCATCATGATCATGATCAGCATCAGCATCATCACCATAATCTTCATCAGCCTCATCATCATTAACATCAGCAGCATCAGCATCGTCATCATCATCGTGACCGTCATCATCGTCAACATCCTGGTCATCATCATCATCTTCATAATCGTCATCATCGTCATCGTCATCGTCATTGTCGTGATCAACATCATCGTCACCATCATCATTATCATCACCATCACCATCACCATCACAACCACCACCATCATCATCACCATAATCACCACCACCACCATCACCACCACCACCATCATCATCATCATCAGCAGCAACAGCTTTATGGTCATCGGCCGCATCGTCATCGCCATTATCGCCATCGTCGTCACCCTCGTCGTCATAATCACCATGATCATCAGAACCGTTATCGCCATCACCAATACATCATTGTAGCCCCATTCACGATTGCCGCCATCATCACTATCACATTCACCATGACCGCCATCGCCGACATAAGCATCATCTTCGCGGTCATTACCAGCATGATCGGCACCGACGTCATCGTCGCCATCCTGAGCATCATGATCCCTCTCGATGTCGTAAATGTGATCGTCATCCTCCTCCCCATCCCCCTCACCATCACCACCACCATCATCCTCACCATCACGATCATCTGTTTAGGTCGGGCATGTCCCCCTACAGGCGGATTTTGGACGAAAAAGTTTAAGATGAACATTAAACAACAACAACAACAACAACAACAACAACAACAACAACAACCATAACAACAACAAAACCAAAAACAATAAAAAATCCCCATATCATGTTTTAAACTACCTTTTGAATAGTCCGCGTGTAGATGGGGAGGCCCGACTGAATCACATGTCGGTGTCGGAGGCAGCCGAGGGACACCACGGGCCCTGACCGGGCACCACAGAGGCGCGGAAAGAGCGCAGACGGGGAGGAGAGGGAGCCGCGGACGGCGGAGTACGCCCGGACGCTCGCAGCAAAAAAGATCCTGTGCGTGCGTGCCGGAGCACAGGCCTGCCCAGCACGGGGAACGATATCGACGAACCATCATGAGCGTCCTCACTCATCATCCTGGGCAGATCCTCATCCTCATCATCATCATCATCATCCTCCTCCTCCTCCTCCCCATCATCATCATCATCATCATCATCATCATCATCATCATCATCATCATCATCAGCATCAGCATCATCATTATTATCATCATCATCATCACCACCATCATCATCATCATCACCATCAGCATCATCATCATCATCGTCATCATCATCATTATCATCATAATCATCATCATCAACAGAATCATCATCACCATCATGGTCGTCCTCATCATCATCATCATCATCATCATCATCATCATCATCATCATCACCATCACCATCACCAGCATCATCATCAGCAGCAGCATCATAATCAGTATCATCATCAGCATCATCAACAACAGCATCATCAACAGCATCATCATCAGCAGCAGCATCATCACCACCATCAGCACCACCATCGCCATCACCATCATCACCATCATGACCGTCCTCATCATCACCAGCAACACCATCATGACCGTCCTCATCATCATCCTCGACTGTCGACGAACCATTCATTCATCCCCTGCGGGAGGGAGGCAGGACGAAGAGAAGCGGGGGGGGGCGACCGCCGCGGCCGCGCGGCGTCCTGCTTCACCACCGCCAGGGCGGTCGCCAATTACTCGGCGGCGGTCTCTCCTCGGGGTGCGCGGGGAAAGGGGGCAACGGCGGGGGGGGATGCCTCTGCCTCCTCATAGTCCTGCCTGCCCCTCGCCCTCCTCCTCCGTCTCCTCCTCCTCCTCCTCCTCCTCCTCCTCCTCCCTCCTCCTCCTGCTGCTGCCTCCTCTTCATCCTCCTCCTCCTCCTCCTCCTCCTCCTTTCCCTCCTCCTCCTCCTCCTCTTACTCCTACTCCTCCTCATCCGCCTCCTCCTCCTCATCAGCCTCCTCCTCCTCCTCCTCCTCCTCCTCCTCCTCCAACTCCTCCTCCTCCCGCCTCCCCCCTGCATCACGTCTGACCGCGGCCGCGTCGTCTCTTCGCTGGCCAGGCCTCGACCCTGCGGTCGGGCCTCCTCCTCCTCCTCCTACTCCTCCTCATGTTCCTCATCCTCCTCCTGCTACCTCCTTGCCCTCCTCCTCCGATTCCTCCTCTTCCTCATCCGCCTCCTCCTCATCATCCGCCTCCTCCTCCTCCTCCTCCTCGTCTTCCTCGTCCTCCTCCTCCTCCTCCCGCCTCCCCCCTGTATCACGTCTGACCCCGCCCGCGTCGTCTCTTCGCTGGCCAGGCCTCGACCCTGCGGTCGGGCCTCCTCCTCCTCCTCCTCCTCCTCCTCCTGCTACTCCTACTCCTCATGTTCCTCCTCCTCCTCCTCATTCTCCTCCTCCTCCTCTCCCATTCCTATTCCGTACAAGTGTCGTCGTCGTCCCCCTTCAGGGTCGGCGGCACCAGCCAGAAGGCCTTCGAAATAACTCCTCCCTGTCGCACCCCAAGGCCAGTCCAAGGGCGGGCTTGGCTTTTCGCCTGAGACTTGCTTACCGTGTACGATCCTGAAGCTGACAATTTGCAACAGTATCAAAGATGGAGGGCAGGTCGCGTACAACATGTGGCTCTCGCCTAAGCGCCGCGCACACTCGTCTTCAAAAATTGCAAGAATTTGACGGGTTGGGGGCGATTACTTCTCAAGATGTGGCTCTCGCCTTAGCGCCGCGCACGCTCGACTTACAAACCTGCAAGAGTTTCACAGATCGTGTGCAATTCCTTTTCAAAATGTGGCTCTCACCTTAGCGCTGCGCGCATTCGCCTCCAACAGTTGCAAGAGTTTCACTGGTTCCCATTATCAACGTACCAGAAATTGAATGTCAGGATTACCAGGGCGTCACACCTTCGTTGAATCGCGGTGTTGAAATTCCAGGGTTGGCGTTCTGGCGCGACTCGGAATCATCAAGACGCAACAGTCATGTTGAGTCTTGGCGTTGAAATCCAGGGAATGGCGTTTTCGCACGCTGCAGGATCTTCAAACAGTTGTCCCCCAACGGGGCACTTCCCTGGTGGAAACAGATCCTTGTAGGGGCTTATGATGATGGAGCTTGGAGAGGGGGTTATTCCAACATCGTGAGTGGGTCTTGGATTTACACTGGTCCTCCTCCTCATCCTCCGCCTCCTCAGCATCGCCATCATCACCACCACCACCATATCATCATCATGATCATCATCATCAGCATCATCATCATCATCATCATCATCATCATCATCATCATCATCATCATCATCATCATCATCATCATCATCATCATCATCATCATCATCATCATCATCATCATCAGCATCAGCATTATCATCATCATCATCATCATCATCATCATCATCATCATCATCAGTATCATCAGCATCATCATCATCGTCATCATCAGCATCATCATCAGCAGCATAATCAGCAGCAGCATCAGTAGCAGCATCAGCATCAGTCACCATCACCATAATCATCATCACCACCATCAACTTCGTCATCAGTATCATCAGCATCATCAGCATTACCAGCATCCTCATTAGTATCATCATCATCAGCAGCAGCAGCAAATCAGCATCATCAGCACCATCATCATCATCATCATCATCATCATCATCATCATCATCATCATCATCATCATCACCGTCATCATCATCAGCATCATCATCAGCATCATCATCATCGTGAAAATCGTCATCATCATCAGCATCATCATCACCATCATGATCGCCCTCATCATCATCATCAGCATCATCATCATCATCATCATCATCATCATCATCATCATCATCATCATCATCATCATCATTATCATCATCATCATGAGCATCAGCATCATCATCCTTGTTCCTCCTCCTCCTCCTCATCCTCGACTTCCTCCTCCTTGGCCTGCAGGCCTGCGGCAGAGGCCACCCACGACGCCCCGACGAGAAGACGCCGCGCGACGGGCGGCCAGCGATTGCACCGAGCACCCCCGCGGCGTATCACATCCTCCTGGTCCTCCTGCTGCTGGCAGGCCTGAGCTGAATCGAACCGCGAACTCGGATCGGATCGCAAACGGATCGGATCGCGGGCGGGTCGTCCCCCGAGTCGAACCGAGGTCGCATCGCCAGGCCGAATGGCGAGATGGGCAAATGGACGAGGAGAAGAAGAGGGGAGGGGCAGGGAGATAGAGGAATATGAAGATGAAAGGTACGCGAGGGGAGGGGCAGGCAAGGGAGAAGGAAAAGGAAGACGAGCCGAGGAAGACAAGAAGTATGACAAGCAGAAGAAACACACAATATGTATATATATATATATATACCTAAGGAGGACGACGTCGCAAGGTAAGAGGGAATTCCGACCCAGACCAAAGAGAAGGAGGGAATCTAGCTCTGGTTTGGGGCATTCCCTGAAGATGAGCTCAAATTACTAAGCCCGTGTAGCCTTCTCCGTCCATGATTTGGGGGGGCATTCCTCCAAAAGACGAGGGAGGGCAAGGAGAGAACACGCGTGCACGGAGCGGCACGAGCGATGCGGCTGGAGCTGACTTCTGGAGGGAGCAGCTCGACCCCTGTGACCGCTCACGAAAACTGCCGCAGAGTTGCCGCACAGAGCCCGCGTGCCGGGTGCACTCCGCTGCCCCTCTCCGCCCCGTCAGCTGGCGCAGACCACCTTGGGCCTCTTCCTCTCCGGGGGCTCGCCCGGCGCGGGGCCCACCTCGACGTCGGACTCGCTGTCCTGAAAGGCAGCCCGAGTGGGGCGGGAACAGATGGGCGTGAAGAGATGCGGAGAGCGGCGCCGCATCGCCAATGGGCGACGCATCGGCGACGCCGGGAGTGAAAAAAAGTGCCCCGGATCGAGCCGCACTGCCAATGCATCGGTGATGCGGCACGATCCTCCGATCTCATCTGCTTCAGCCCCATTTTGGGAAGCCTGGATTCATGGTGGGTTTGTTTTCCACCACCACCACCATAAGTTGGAGGGGGAGGGGGTCCTCCTCCTCCTCCTCCTCTCCTCCTCCTCCTACTCCTCCTCCTCCTCTTCGTCCTCCTCCTCCTCGTCCTCCACCTCCTTCCCCCCTTCCAACTTATGGTGGTGGTGGTGGTGGAAGATACGCCAATCAATTCAGGGGCGGGAAACATATCCGTACCCACGGCCTCAACAGGCCAGGCCCCTGGGCCGTGACCCCGCGGACACGGGGCGTGCTTTCGGGGATGCCCCGCGCAGAGCGCAACCACGCGACCTCGCAGCCACGGGATCGCGCCCCAGAACCAAGACCGCGAAGGCGTGAATGTGGATACGCTCGCCGCTCGTGATGGACGTCCACGATCTCAACGGCCCCCACGCTGCACGCCGAGGTGGACCACAGCGTGGACCCCAGCCGCATGCTCTGCTCCGGCTCCTGAGACCTGGCCGGCGCCTCGAGCGCATGCGCCCGGTGCCGCTCTTCACCGCCGAAGTCCATGGCCACGCCCAGCGGGGCTCCAGCCGGGCCGCGCCTAGACACCGCAAGCACCTCCCGCAGCTGCCGCTCGTCGTCCAGGCCCGCAGCCGCGAGTCCCGGGGCCGCGCCCCCGGGGCCGCGCCTGGATGCTGCCAGCGCCTGCTGCAGCTGCTGCTCCTCGTCCAGGACCAGGGCGGCGCCCCCGAGGCCGCGCCTGGACGCCGCCAGCGCCTGCTGCAGCTGCTGCTCCTCGTCCGGGACCAGGGCCGCGCCCCCAGAGCCGCATCTGGACGCCGCCAGCGCCTGCTGCAGCTGCCACTCCTCGTCCACGACTGGGGCGGCACCCCAGGGGACTCCAGACGCCGCCAGGGCCTGCTGCAGCTGCCGCTCCTCCTCCAGGCGAGCGGCGGCCAGGCTGGCCTCCCGCGTGGCTTCCAGCGCGTCCTCCGCGCGGCGGAGAGCCTGGGCACAGCCCAGGAGTGGTCCAGTGCTGGGAGGGGCCCAGCGGAAGAGGGTGGATGGGAGGCCTGCTCCCCCCGAGGAGGAGGAGGCCAAGTACACACGGCATCGACCCTGACGAGCCGACGAACCCCGTCCTGGGCCCAGGACAAGTGCAAGCGCCCCCCTGGCTTGGTCAGGCAGGCAGGCGCGCCGATCGTGGGCCAACGACGAGGCTGGTCAGGATCGGTGCAGGTGTACAAGGTCAACCCGCAGAAGAAGGGCGCACGATAATTCAAGGGCCTTGGAAGGCCATGTCGACACTTTGCGAGCGGGGCGCGGCCAGCGAAAGCGGCCAAGGATGGGCCAAAGGGGAAGGATGCAAGGGCAACCTTGGAAAGTCGCCCATCCTTACCATGCGGGAATGAAGGGGCCCAGGGACACACAAATGATTACACACAAATCCCAGGATTCCCCATATCGTTCCATATTTTCTGAATTTTAGCATTCCCCCCCCACCTCCCCTGTTTCCCCACATTCTCCTGGAGATCGACGACGACTTGTGTCTGTGTGTTTTGTCCCCCTCCTGCGTGGTTGACCGCATGTGGCGTCATCCGCTCCCCACCCTCTCCCCCTCCGTCCCTGACGAGCGACGAACACGGCGAAGCTCGAGGCCCTCGCGGCCTGGATCGCCGAGGCGCGATCGCACGGACACCGCGATCCCGTGGAGGGGCCTCGCGCGGGGCCCCCGCGCAAGGCCGCCCTGCACCCCGGCAAGGGCCGCGGCGCTGAGGTCAGGTTGGGCCTGTCCCCCGACAGGCGGATTCTGGACGAACGAAAAGAAAATACTCCGAAAAATACCCCCAAAAATGCTCAAAAACGGTCCAAGAATCGTCCCCAGACTATGTTTTGGCTATTTTTGAGCATCCCCCCTGTAGAGGGACAGGCCCGACTGAACGCTGAGGGACTGCAAAGACCGCCGAGGCCGGGAACGCGCGGGCCCGCCTCCCGCCGACCCCCGCGGACACTCCGTTCCGCTGGCCCCACTGGCCGATTTGCCCATCGGTCGGAAGAAGTCGGTAGAAACGTGAAGTAGGAAGGCGTTGAAAGTAGATTGGATGTCCGCGCAGCCCCCTAAAGAGGACGGAAAAGGTGAAGCCACTCGATCACTGAAGTGGGAAGGCGCTCAAAGTAGATTGGCAGATGAGAATCCAAAAATGCCTAGACCGATGGGCGCCCCCCTACGGCAGGGGTCACCCAACGTCGCGCACCGCGTCCCGCGATGCGCGCTGCGCACTTGTCTTCGCGCCCCCTGCGCTGGACCTCCGCTGCACGTCTGCAGACTCCTTGGATCTGCGCCAGACTCCATCGGCGGCGCTGGGCGCGCCGCCCGACGCTTCCAGCGCAGGCTCGAGAAATCCGCGCGGAGCTTCAAGAGGCTCTAAGACCCCCGACGTCATGATTTTTCACAACGTCGGCACCCATAGCTCTCGACGCATTTCCTCGGTTTCTCATCCTGAGTCGTTTTGTTGACGGTCCCGAGGCCTGGTAAGGGCACCCCAAGAAGGCTGATGCTAGCGAAAAGCCTTCCGCCGTGACCCTGTTCACAACTCGAGGGATGTCTGGGTTAGATGTTTATGCCGCTGGTTCTTCTTCGAGCGCCAGACTGTTGCCCCCTCGGGTGGGGCTAGGACGAAGATAAATCCGTTTCGGAGCGTTCTGGGTCCAGAACACTCTGAGCAGGCCGCGGCGCCCGAGACATCCTCCAGAACAGCCGGATCTCAGAGATTCTCGATCTGTCCTCGCTCGAATCTATCCTCGTCCCGTCTCCTCCCTGGACGCCTTCGCCTTCTGCTTGCCCCTCCAGCGACGGAGGCAGGAGGCGGGGTCGGGAGGCGGGGGGGGGGGTCGGGAGGCGGAGGGCGGCAGGGAAGAGCGGAAGGAGGGAGGCAGAGCGGAGGGAGGGCGAGAGGACCTCCCCCTCCTCCTCCTCCCTCCTCCCTCCTCCCTCCTCCCCCTCCTCCTCCTCCAGGGAAGAGCTTCGTCGCCCCCCTCCCCCCTGGTAGCCCCCCCCCCCCCGGGAGCGGCCTCCACGCGCGGGTCGGCGCGGCAGGCGGCGTCCAGCAGCGCCGGCAGCAGCGGCCGCGGCTCGAAGGCGTCCCCGCGCGGGGCCTCCGCCGCCGCCGCCTCGGGGCGGCCGCCCGCCGCGGAGAGCCACCGCTCCTGGGCCGGCCGGGCACGGCGCGTCGACGTCGACGTCGTCGACGACGACGACGACGACGACGACGACGACGACGACGACGATACGATGCACGTCGGTCGGGAGAAGTGGGAAGAGGCAGGAAGCAGGAAGGCGTCGGAAGCAGATTGGGTCTCCACCCGCCCCCTGGAGAGGAGGGGAGAGGGAAAAGCGCTCGATCCTTGAAGTAGGAAGGCGCCTAAAGCAGATGGGGGCTGGGGATCCAAAAATACCTACTTTCAATGACGGGCGTGCACTCTGGATGGGGTATTTATCAAAGGGGTATGATTAACCTTTCGACTGAGCTTGCCCAATCCAGCCCCCCTCCATCCTCCTCCCTCTCGTCCTCCTCCTCCTCTTGCTCAAACCCCCTCCACCCGTTCCGACAGCACGTGCCCAACCCCCCCAGCAGATTCAAGGGAGGGGCGATTATTGTCCCATGGGCATCGGCGCGCGCAAATGACATTGACACCGCGTCGATCGTTCAACCGTGAACCGATCGCGGCCCCGATCGTTCAAGGTCGAATTCTTTCGGGTCGTGTAGCGCTGCCGTATCCCTCGGTGTGTTCCGCGTCGTTCTACCGTGCGGAATTCAATCTTGAAAGCCTTCGCCAGCGTCGCCGGCGCGGCATCACCGCATGAACCTACCGTAAGACTCGGCGGCGAGCGAGGGGGGAAGTGATAGAGGGGGCAAGCCTTCTCCGAAGGCGGCGGGGCTTCTCAGAAGCCCTCGCGCCGTCGGAGAAATCTTCTCTACGTCTTCGAGGGAGACTCAGGACAAGTTCTCCCCAACTCATCATCATCATCATCATCATCATCATCCTCTTGTTCCTCCTCCGCATTCCCCTCCCCATCCTGCCCTTCACTCACTCACTCACTCACTCGCTCACGCACTCACTCACGCACTCACTCACGCACTCACTCACTCACTCACTCACTCACTCCTGGTCCTCCGCTCCCCCGTCCTCCTCCCCCGTCCTCCTCCTCCTCCTCCTCCTCCTCCTCCTCCTCCTCCTCCTCCTCCTCCTCCTCCTCCTCCTCCGCCTGCTCCTCCTCCTCCTCCCCCTCCGCCTCCCCCTCCTCCTCCACCCGCCCCCCCCCCCTCCCACCTCCTCGTGCGTCCCTCCTCGCTCCTCCCCCTGCCTAGCCACCGCACGGCCTTGGAGGGCCATGTCGACACTCTGCGAGCGGGGCGCGGCCAGCGAAAGCGGCCAAGGATGGGCCGGGTGGGGAAGGATGCCAGGGTAACCTTGGAGAGTCGCTCATCCTCACTAATTATGCGGGTTGGCTGTACCCCCCCCCCCCCTGTCCCCAGGCCCCAGGCCCCCGTCTGGGTCGGAGGCGCCCAAGAGGGGCGAGGCGGCCGCAAGCCGTGGCCAGGGGCATGTGCGCGGACGACCCGGGGAGGGGTGCCAGGGGACGTACTGACAGAAAGACGAGGGGGCCCTGGAGTCCGGGGCGGCGTCATGGCCCCGGCCACGATACACACTCCCCCCCTGAAGTCGCCACCCCAATCTTGGACACCCCCGACTGGGCTGCCACGGGAACGTCGTACCCGCGGGTCTCCAGCCCGCCGCGCCGCTCCGCCCCGTCGTCGCCGCGGAGCTCCAGCTCGATGCTGCCCAGCTCCGCCTGCATCGCGCGCTCACTCTCCTCCATACCCGCTTCCTGCACCTCCATTCCTTTTCATTATAAATATCCTCCTCCTCTTCCTCCTCCTCCGCCTCCTCCTCCTCCTTTTCCTCCTCCTCCTCATCCTCTTCCATTCCTTTTCCTTATAAATAACTTGTCCCTGTCGCACCCCGAGGCTAGTTTTTAGGGCGGGCCGGGCGTGTCGCCCGAAACTTCCTCACCACTTATGACTCTGAAGCACAACACTTGAGGGACGGGTTTCTTCCAAATGGGGCTCTCGACTTAGCGCGGCGCACATTCGTTTGAGAAATTAGCATGGGCTTCACGGATTGAGGGCAGGTCGTTTTCAAAATGTGGCTCTCGCCTTAGTGCGGAACACATTCGTTTAAAAAATACAAAAGCTTCACGGATTGAGGACGGGTGGTTTTCAAAATGTGGCGTTCGCCTTAGCGCGGCGCATATTCGTTTTCTTAATTTGCGAGAGCTTTACGGATTGAGGGCGGGTGGTTTTCAAAATGTGGCTTTTCGCCTTAGCGCGGCGCACATTTGTTTTCTACATTTGCAGAGCTTCACGAATCGAAGGCGGGTGACTTTCAAAATGTGGCTCTCGCCTTAGCACGGCGTACATTCGTTCTTGTAACTACAAGAGCTTCACGGATTGAGGGCGGGTGGTTTTCAAAATATGGCTTCCGATTTAGCGCGGCGCACATTTGTTTTCAAAATTTGCAAGGGGTTCACGGATTGAGGGCGGGTCGTTTTCAAAATGTGGCTCTCGCCTTAGCGCGGCGGGCATTCGTTAAAAAATGCAAGGCTTCACGGATTGAGGACGGGTGGTTTTCAAAATGTGGCGTTCGCCTTAGCGCGGCGCATATTCGTTTTCTTAATTTGCGAGAGCTTCACGGATTGAGGGCGGGTCGTTTTCAAAATGCGGCTCTCGCCTTAGCGCGGCGCTTCACGGATTCCCATCATCAACGTGCCAGAAATTGTGTTTTGAAAGCGTTCGAGATTATGCGGGTGCAACATTTATGTTGATTCGGGCGTTGAAGTCCCAGAATATGGCGTTCTGGCGCGATTCAGGATTGTCAAGGCGCAACAGTCTGGTTGATCCGTGGCGTTGGAATCCCGAGAACAATGTTTTGGCATGTTTCAGGGTCTTCAAACGGTTGTCTTCCAAAGAAGCAGTTCCTCCAATGGAAATGAATCGTTGCAGGGGCCTACGAAGAGGGAGCTTGGAGGGAGGGTTTATTCCAACATCGTTGATGACACTTGGGTTTACACTGGTCCTCCTCCTCCTCATCCCATCCTCTTCCTCCACCTCCTCCTCCTCGCTTCTCCCAACTCCATCCTCCCTCCTCCCTCCCCCATCCGCCATCTTCCTCCTTTATTTCTTCCTCCTCCTCCTCCTCCTCCTCATGATCATCATCAGCAGCAGCAGCAGAATCATCATCATCATCATCATCATCATCATCATCATCATCATCATCGTCATCATCATCATCATCATCATCATCATCATCATCAGCAGCATCATCATAATCATCATCATCCTCATCGTCATTCTCATCCGCATCCTCATCCTCAAACTCATCATCCCCCTCGTCCTCCCTTCCTTTACGGTCGAAAGGGCGGGCTGGACGTTTCGCCGCAGACTTCCTTATCATTTATGATCCTGAACCTTGAAAATTGCATCAGTTTCACGGATGGAGAACCGGGTTGTTTTCAAATTGCGCCTCTCGCCGGAGCGCCTCGCGCATTCGCATTAAACGTTTGCAACAGCTTCACGGATGGAGGGTGGGCCATTTTCAAAATGTTGCTCTCGCCTTAGCGCTACGCATATTCGTCTTAAAAGCTTGCAAAAATCTCACGGGTGAAGGACGGACCGTTTTCAAAACGTGGCTCTCGCCTCAGCGTTGAGCACATTCGTCCTAAAGTCCCACCACCCCTTTAAGGCGTAGGTGGTTCAGGGTGTTTTGCCTTTCATATACCCCTCGTCCCCTTCGGGGACGGGTTTATCAGTGCTCCCTATTAACATACACCTCCTCCTCCAAGCGACTGGCGTCCAACCAGGAACCATGAGGACACCATGACGACCCGCCCCCCACCATCCCTGTCAAAAAAAACAATACAGACCGCACTCTGTCTCCACATTTGAAGCATGCGCGGCCAACCCTATGCGGCCCCCCACACCATCCCTGCTAAAAAGCAATACACAGCACACTTCGGGGCAAAAGCTTGAGTCATGTTCGTGAGGCCCGCGAGCACTTTGAATTGGTTTTGACAGGGACGGCCGGGGTGTCAGCATATTCCCTGCTGCGCGCAGGGCTACCATCCCGGACAAAAAAATGCAACATGCACCTCGCGGCTAAATCTGGATCATGCGCGGCCATCCCGCGATCACTGTCAAGTGGTTTTTGACAGGGACCGCAGGGGTGGTGGCGCGTGGCCTGCTGTGCGAAGGCCCACCAGACACAATGATGGGCATTGGTTTTCGACAAGGATGGTGGGAGCCGACATGTTTCCCGATGTGTGCTGTCACGTGCGCAGGCGCACCTGACGCATTCTGCACGTGCCCCGAACGTGGAGCACCTGGTGCGGCTGGAGTGTGCGGCACACCTGGCGCACTCAGAGCACGTGGCGCATCTGGCGCACCAGGCGTGCCTGGCACGCTCGGACCCCAGGGGTGCCTGGCGCGCGTGGCGCCCCTGGCACGCGCGGCGCACCTCGCCCACGCATCGCGCACGATCGCTGAACATGCTCAGGCTCGATTGCTACTCATGTGTTGAGAGGGCGGGTGAATGAGCTAGACGGCTTGCGGGCGGTTGGGTAGCTTGAACACTGTTCCCTATTAAAAACACCCCCTCCCCCACTCGGCCGGCAGCCAACCCGGAACCATGCGCACACCATGACGGCCGCCCCCCACCATCCCTACCCAAAAACAATACAAAACGCACTCTGCCTCCCAATTCGGAGCATGCGCAACAAACCCGATGCGGGCCCCCCCCACCATCCCTGTCAAAAAACAATACACAGCACAGTTAAGGGCAAAAGCTGAAGTCATGTTCGTGAAGCCCGCGGGCATTTTGTGCTGTTCTTCGACAAGGAACGCGGGGGCGTCAGCATACTGCCTGCTGCGCGCAGGGCTACCATCCCTGACACAAAAAAATGCAACATGCACCTCGCGGCTAAATCTGGACCATGCGCGGCCATCCCGCGATCACTGTCAAGTGGTTTTTGACAGGGACCGCGGGGGTGGTGGTGTATGGCCTGCTGCGCGCAGGCCCACCAGACACACTGATGGGCATTGGTTTTCGACAAGAATGGCGGGGACCGGCATGTTTCCCGATGTGTGCTGTCATGTGCGCAGGCGCACCTTACACACTCTGCACGTGCCCCGGACGTGGCGCACCTGGCGCGGCTGGAGGGAGCATCTGGCGCGTGCCTGGCACGCTCGGGCCCCACGGGTGCCTGGCGCGCGTGGCGCGCCTGGCACGCGTGGCGCACCTCGCCCCAGCGTCGCGCACATGGGCTCGGTTTTGGTTCCCGGTAGCTGTCCATCAAAAGACGACCGCGGAACATGCTGAGGCTCGGGTGTTACTAATGTGTTGGGAGGGCGGGTGGGAGTGAGCTAGACGGCTTGCTACCTGGAGGGTGTCTTGACCCCTCCCCCTGCCCCCTCCCCTGGACCTGGACGGGGGTCTCCGCGAGAGGTTCGAGAGTCCAAGATGGCCCAAAATTGTTCCAAGAGCGCCTCGGAAAGCCAAAGATGAGCTCCAAGATGGCTCAAGGTATCCCAAGATGTCTCAAGGTGGCCCCGAGATGCTCCAAGAAGCCCCAAGACCGTTCCATGACGGTTCCAAGTGGCCAAAAAGCTCCCCAAGGAGGCCCCGAAGGGGCTAAAATCCTTCCAAGACCTTGGGAAAGTCAAGTCTCCTTTCTTGTCGTTTCGCTTCCGATGGCCATCCGAGGCCTCAAGATGGCTCCAAGATGGCCCGAGAGGGCTTCAAGAGAGGCTCGAGAGAGCCCCAAGACGGCCCCAAGAACGCCCAAGAGCGCTCCAAGAGCGTCCCAAGAGAGCCCCAAGAGGCGACTTTCGGGGCTCCCGAGGGGCAGCGCTAATTAAAGTTCCCCTCTTGTTTGATCGATGTCCTCCAAAATGGCCCCAAGAGCGCTCCAACGGCTCCCAAGAGCGCCGCAAGAGGACCCCATGAGGCGCCCAGGAGGCCTCAAGAGGCGCCTAAGAGGCCTCCAAGAGGAGCCCAAGAGACCACCAAGAGGCTTCACGAGGCTCCCCGAGGCCCCCGAAACGCTCCAAGAGGCCCCCGGGACCGCCAAGAGGCCCCCAAGGCACAAGAGAGGCCCAGGAGAGCCCCAATACTGCCGCAAGAGCGCCCAAGAGTGTCCCAAGAGCGGTCCAAGAGGGACCCTTCCTCTGTGTGCTGCCCACTTCCCTGATCGAGGCAATTCCTCTGGGCATCGTCTCTGCGTGGGATGGTGGGGTTTCTTGTTCGTTCGCGAGCGCCGCGGTCCGACCGCGCGCCGTCAAGAGATGACGCAGCCGCGCCAAGCTCTCAGGGGTGGCGGGGTTACTTGTTTTGGTCGCGGCCGCAAGCGAAGAGCGCAGGCGGCAAACAGGGTGTCCGGGGCGACGGGCAAACCTGATTAGCTGCTGGGCGCAGCGCGAGCCAGCCGGGCCAGCACTCAGAGGCAGCAGCAGCGGCAGCGGCAGCGGGGGGGTGGCTGGCTGAACTGCAACGCCCAGGGAAGCTCGAGCATCGTGCAGCCCTGTGGCAAAATGCCAGGGAATTCTGTGTTACGCGCCGCGGCGACAGTCCACCACGGTGAAGGTGCTTGTCGAGACAGGCAGAGAGCGGCTTGCAGGTACAATCCTCACAGACACTGCAGTGGGGAAAGGCTAGGTACACGCTGGTCATGTCGCCAGGGGGCGCCAAGGGCCAGGGCCGTGTCGACGGCGTAGACCTGCCTGGACAGCTGGGACGGAACGAAGATGGAAGCACAGCGTCCGACGGAAGGCTGGACCACTCCGAAACGCCACGCACGTATCCAGTGGGGCACACCAGTCCCCAGCAAGTGGCAACAAACCGGCCCGAAGGCGATGGCACCTGTGGGCCCGGCCCGAGCCTGACTGGCGGGGATGGACGTCGCCAGCGCGGCCGGAAGAGTAGGCACAGGTGGTGGGGTTACTTTTTTTGGTCGGCGGCCGCGCGACTACGGTCTGGCGGCAACAAGCGTGTCGGGGACGGCGGTACAGGCTAATTGCACACTTGCACAACAAGCGTCAAAGTGGTGGGGTTACGCGAAGCGTCTAGAATTTGCAACAGCTTCGCGGATGGAGGGCGGTTCCTTTTCAAAATGTGGCTCTCGCCTCAGCACCGTGGACATGCTTCTCAAGAGTTTACAACAGTTTCCAGGGTTCGCATGGTTCACATCCCAACAATTGTGTTTTGGCGCGATGTCGGACTGTCACGGTGCAACAGTTAAGTTGATGATTGGTGCAGAAGTCCCAGACATGGTGTTCTGGCACGATTCAGGATCGTCAAGACGCAACAGTATTATAATCATCGTTTGGCGTCATCATCATCTTCGTCATCGTCATCATGATCGTCGTCAGCATCATCATCATCATGACCACAAGCACCATCATTACAAGCAGCATCGTCGTCATCCTCAGCATCACCATCACCATCGCCATCATCAGAATCAGCATCATCTCCATCATCATCATAATCATAATCGTCATCAGCATCGTCATCATCATCATCATCATCATCATCATCATCATCATCATCATCATCATCATCACCATCATTGGCATCATCATCAGCATAAGCATCGTCACCACCATCATCATCATCAACAACAGAATCTGAAGTATCATCATCAGCATCCGCATCACCATCATGACCACCAGCATCACCATCATCATGAGCAGCAGCAGCATCATTAGCAGCGACAGCATCATCAGCGTCATCTTGAACATCCTCAACATCGGCATCATGATCATCATCATGATCATCATCATCCTCAGCATCATCATCATCATCATCATCATCATCATCATCATCATCACCATCGACATCAGCATCATCATCAGCAGCATCACCAGCATCATCAGCATCACCATCATCATCATCATCATCATCAACAGCATCATCATCGTAATCGCCATCATCATCAGCATCATCGTTATTATCATCATTACCATCGTCATCATCAGCACCATGATCGTCATGATCACCAGCAGCTGCATCACCATCATGACCACCATCAGCAGCATCATCAACACGACCATCAGCATCGGCACCAGCATCAGCATCATCAGCATCATCGTCACCATCATCATCATCATTATCATCATCATCATCATCATCATCATCATCAGAATCATCCTCATCATGACCATCATCGCCATCATCAAGAGCAGTATCATAGTCATCAGCATCATCGTCAGCATCATCGCCATCATCAGCAGCAGCATCAACATCATTATCATCATCATCATCAGCAGCAGCAGCATCGTCATCATCACCGTCATCATCATGACCACCAGCATCACTCTGATCATCATCCTCATCATCATCATCTTCATCACCACCATGATCATCATGAGCATCATCATCATGACCACCAGCATATGTATCATCAGTATCATTGTCATCAGCAGCATCACCATCATCGCCATCATCATCACCAGCATCATCAGCATCATCAACAGCATCATCAGCACCATGATCATCAACATCATCCGCCTGCATGCCATTGCAGAGGAGGACCATCGCCAGCCGTTGCGTCTGGGCCGGCACGTGGCAGGTGGTGGCCACCCGACGCCACTTAGCAGGGTACCTCGGCAGCGGCCGGCCGCAGGCGGCCGCACGACGGGAGCGACCATGGGCAACACTTGACCCTGGGCAACGAATTACCCTCCTACGCCTCCGCCTCCGCCTCCTCCTCCTCCTTTTCCGCCTCCTCCGCCTCCGCCTCCGCCACCGCCTCCGCCTCCGCCTCCTCCTCCGCATCCTCCTCCTCCTCCTCCTTCTCCTCCTCCTCAATTGCCTCCTCCGCCTCCTCCTCCTCCTCCTCCGCATCCTCCTCCTCCACCTTAATTTTTGTTGCGGCTGCACCCATTCTCAGTGGGGATCCTCATGGGGTGGTTGCCTGCGGGTGCGTTCACCTCGTTGTGTTGCACACGAAATCCTCTTCCTCATCCTCCTCCTCCTCCTCTCTCCTCCTCCTCCGCTCCTCCTCCTCCTCCTCCTCCTCCTCCTCCTCCTCCTCCTCCTCCTCGCTAGCCTGGGCAAAATATTGTTGACCAGCGCTTGTTCTGAATTCCAGCCTGCGGCGGACATTTATCGGGCCCCAGGACCATCAAAAACAGGCCTGGCCCCAGAGAAGAGGTTGGGCCTCTAGGGCCGTAGATGAAACAGATTAGATCGGCAGATGTCAAGGTCTCTCGACTGTGACCCTGGGCGACGAGGTGGCCTTGTGGTGCGCGGCTTGCCGATGATCGCATGCGATGCGACATCCGCGACCGCAAAAGCCCCCCCACTTTGGGGCGCCGTCGTTTTGAGGAAATATCAAGCGGGAGCCCCGTTTCCGCGTTGAGAAGGCGATGTTGGAAGCAGAGCCACCGGGTGCTCTCCATCAGCCCCGCCTTGTGTGAAATTACTCGGGGAGCCCAAGGAGCTAGACATGGAGCCACGACTCCAGACCAGCCCAGACCTCTCGAAGACGATCCACTTACCCTCCAAGGAACCTGGCGCCATGCCACGACATGCTGTGCGGTGTTGCGCTCTGCGCCGCTGTGCGATGCCATGCTTTGCGTTGCAATGCTTTGCGATGCAATTCTTCCCTGCGCAATCCCACGCAATGATATGGCAGGCTACGCTCTGCCGTGCTCTTCTACGCCATGCCATGCCGTGCTCTGCCATGCATCGCGTACCCTCTCGCGATCATTGCCCTGCTCGACATCCGACCGTGCGAATAGAGAGGATATCTACGTCATGGAAGGGATGGGGGGAGGGGGAGGACGTCAGATATGACGCGAGGGCACCTAGCTTGCCAC